CCTCTTCGTTGAGCAAAACCCCAACCTTCCACGTGTCCCATGCTCTCAAGCCGTTTGAGCTGAGCTGTGTTGTTCGTTTGGCCGTTTCCTCTCATAAACCACCCGCTGTAAAGCCAGATGATAAAAAGGCTTTGTTAAATCATATTCCCCCCAAAAACATGAAAACCCGAGAAACAACAATGTCCTGTAAGCCCCAACCCCCAATCTGAATGACGCCCATTCCATGCACATGATGCAACCGGTAACTGGGTATTTACGTTTCCTCTTGCCCATCAACATTTCCCAAGAAACAGAATTCGAGTGCTCGCTCCATATTCCCGCCTGCCACTAGTCCTGTCCGAAGCCGTTATTGACCCCCCCTCGAGCCAAATGGAAAGGGAGATGTTGGTATAATGTCGTATGCGGAGCCTGCTGCTCCAATCTTCTACCGGATGACGCCCCAGTCAGATAGTCGCCCTCCATCACTATCCTCTCTCGCCCCAGGTCGTCGTCCAAATGCGTTCCAGAATCGTAATGTCTCATCTCCGGCGCCGGTCACAACGGTTCTGCCGTCCGGGCTCATAGCCAGGTAAAGCACACGATACGTGTGTCCAGTGAGACTGACCACCTGCGTCATGGAAGGGTATTTCCATACCACAATCTGGTTTTGACTATAACCGTGCGTCGAGACAATCTCATTGGAGTTCTTGGACCAGGCGATATTGCAGACCTGGCTGCCAGTATCGATCTCGTTGATGACAGATCCGCGGACTGTGTCGTGGAAGATGATGCGTCGATCAGCCGTACCTCCACCCGAAGCCAACAGTCCCCGTTGATGCGGTGACCATGCAATGGCCTTGACAGCTGCCGTGTGATCTGAAAACTTCCACAGCGGTGTCTCGGAAAGCTTATCCCACACCATGAGCTTGTTGTCATTGCCACCGCTGGCAAGCTGGCCGTCTTCGCAGTTCCACTTAAGACCGCAAACCTCCTGCTTATGGCCGACGAGCTTTCGGAGCCACTGGTCGGGGGCCCGCACGTCGCGGTGGTAGATCAGGCGATCGCGAGAGCCAGATGTCAGTATGTGAGTGTTCCAAGCCAGGGAGCCCACTCGTGCCGTGTGGCCTGTCATTGTTCGCAGTCGCCTTGTCTTTTCAGCGTCCCAGATTTGGACGAGGCCCTTGCCGGTCCCGATAGCGATGTGGGTTCCTTTCTGAATCCATGACACGCTCGTTACTGTATCGTCCTCGAGCGTACACAGCTTGTTGACGCGACTTGTCTGAGCATTCCACATGTAAACACTGGACCCGAGCCCGACCCCAAGCACATTGGCACTGCCCCAATCTACCAAGTTGAGGTAGAAATCATCTGCCAAATCAGGCGCGTCGAGAACTTTGTAAGGCACTTTACTGACCGCCCTCGGTTGCCTCCGCGGGCTAAGCAGCATCTGTTGACTGTTGAAGCGAACTGGCGAAAGGCTATAGATCTCGGAGCGAGTGTCGAGATTGGGACCATGCCGGCTCTGCGGTGTCCTTGACGGCGTTAGATGACCCGCATTGCCCAGGTTCCGCGGAGACATGTAGGAGAACAGATTCTTGTGGGGAGTCGATGGCGTTAGAGAGGATGGAAGAGAGTTGGTAGAAGCGTTGTTTGGCGGGGTGCGAGACCTCGTTGAATCTCGAATATTGGCAGAGTGCGATGCAGTGGATAAAGTATGCTCAGGAGACATAGTGGGCGGTGTTGCCTGTGGTATTGAGCCTTCAAAGAGCTCTGCGCGGAGCAACGTCGAGAATGTCCGGTTTGCTTCCTCAGCTAAGAACGGTCAGATTTGTCTCCTTCGGGTGAAGGGGCGTAGATGGCTCACTCTTCTGAAAGTGTAGCTCTCCGTGAGGAGTACGCTTCTTTTGTTTGGACGGTGTCGCTGGAGAGCCATCTTCGTGTAGCAAGTTGAAGCTGGCTTGGAGGTCCTGGCCAGTTCGTGTCGGAATAAATCTGGCAGAAAAGACTTAGTAAATAGTGGTTGAAGTTGATCACGGTGATGTACACCTACCTGTCGCCATTGATTCTCTGGCGCTTCCGATGTGGGCTTGCACCAGGTGTGCTTTCCCTCTGTGATCGGTGGTGCATCTCACGTAGCAAAGCACTGTCGACGGCGTCGGGGTCGAAAGCACTGGATCGAGCTGATTCACTAGGTCTTCTGCTGTGTTGAATCTTGCGCTGGTTTGTATTTTCCAAATATTGGCGGTTCTCGACGAGACCTCTGTCGGAAGGAGGGGGGGGTGTTGCGAAGCGAGTGGGTGTCGCGGTTGCTGAATTGCTTGCATCAGCTACTGGTCTTTTGATGGAACCAGAAGCGCTGAGGGCAGCCAAAGAATCGGTCGGGAGAGTCATCTTGACTTTTTTGCAACAAGCAACGGAGATCGTCCGTGAGAGTTGCGCGAAGAGGCTGAAGTCTAGCGAAGGCCGCTGGGACGAGCGTCGTCGGGGGATGTGGCGGGGAATGATAAAGCACACCAAGCACCGACACCAGTGCGGGCCTCAGAGAGCGGTGGTCGTGTCGTCGCAGTTGAGAGACTGGGGCGACAAAAGCTATTCAAATGATGCGCTCGCAGTGTTCGGAGAACGAAGTCGTTGCTCGAATTATCGGCGAGTCGTCTTGGCCGGTCGGCGCGGCATACGAATCACCACCTTATCCCTGACGGCGGTATTCAAATCGTTGTCATTCGCATGCTTTTCCCTCAGGCGGTCGCAAGAACTCGGGCGCCGGCGACAAGCTTCTGGGATTAATGGCGCAAAACGGGTCGAAAAAAATAATTAGTCGAGAGAGAGAGAAGAAAGAGAAGACAGCAATATGGGCGTCGACGGGTGGTGAAAGGCTGTCGAACGTTGGATTGAGTGCAGATTCGAGATGTCTGAGGCCACGGGGTGCAGGCTGGAGTCGCAGGAAGCGGCAAGAGCCAGCGGCGGAGGAAGGCACGATGATGAGTGGTTGGGCGGGTAGGAAGGTGCAAGGTAATGGAGGTACCAGGTGAGGTAGGTAGGTGCGGCAAGGTCAGTATGTACCTCAAGGCGACAAGCACCGCGGTGGTGAGGTGCAGCGGTTCTAATCGTGACGGGAAGGGGTCCAACAGCCAGTAAGGTGTAACCCGTCCAATACTGGTCACAGTCTAGTATCACCCAACCTCACTCGGGCAAGCATGCCAGGGCAGAACGGGCTGTTGTCGGGGCGGGGGGAGGGGACTCCCACTTAGAGGATGGAAACCACGAAACTCAAGGGCGTCGAGGAGGTTGAACTGGGGGAGTCGCGGCAAAGGGAGAGACGCTATTCTTGTTATGGCTTTAGCGTAGACGGCAGAGCAACAAGAACAACAGCAGCGGTCCCTTCGGCCGCTGTCTGGGTAAGGTACGCGGGCACGCATCACGCACTTCCATTCAGGTACTTTGACTACTATGCACCTTAGGGACTGTTTGGTGGTTTCCAGAGGTACCTTGGTGGTGCACGTTGGCCTTTGGACGCGACTGGCGAGGGAAGAGAAAGGGCGTCTGGCGTGACTGGCGTCAGTAGGTCCCGCACGGCAGGGTGGGGAGGGAGGGGGACAATAACATTGACCGACAACCCAAGGGGGAGGGAACCGGGACGGGGAGACGAGACTGGGGATGGCGAACAACAACAACAAACATCCCGTCCCGTCGCCTGTCGTTCAAGGGTCAGCGCGATCGAATGTTAGAACTGAGCACAGAGTTGATGTTTCTTTTCTCTCCTCTTGCAAAGCCCGTGCAAGCAACATGAGGTAGAACAAACAATCGAGAAAACATATAGAGTAGGTACCTCGACTTTGGCTGTTGACTTTTAATTTAAGTACTTCGTCCAGGAAACTATATCAATAGTTGCTCCTGCCCTGGCTTGCTTGCACATTATAGTTCTATTACGTGTAGATCTCATAACAACACTTCGCCATCACAATATTATGTTGTTTCGACTCGTGCGTGTTTCTTGCCTCTCACTTGTCAAAGGCACCCCTCACTATCAGCCAAGGACTACCTCCTTGTTGAGGGAAAGCCACAATAAGTTTGACAGTCAAGCTTGTCAACTATGAGAGATTGAAGCAATTGCTCTGAAAGTATGCACGCAATCTACGTTTTCGAACTCCCTACGGTATTAATCATCATCCGATGCGGTTTCAACTACGCTAGCCACGCTGCGTTATCGAGACCTAAGTAGGCTTTGGCATGAGTGTTGATTGAGATTGGGAAACGTCCTCGCACCCACCCACAGTCAGAGACAAGAGAAGCTATGCAAGGCACAGATGGGACGGTACGGGACGAGACAAGACCAAAAATGGGATGGCAGTCGCGATGAAACGCACCTTGTTATCTACGTAAACGTGAGTTGGCGTTAGTTTTGGATGTTTGTGTATGGATAAAAGTATGTCTTCACGCTTTCCCCTCTTCCATCGCGCTTCCATAGTACTTGGGATTCGGGAAGAACATTGTCGCGTCGCCAGTCTCGTCAAAAGAAAAATAAAGGCCGTGTTGCATTCCAGCTAACACGATTCCCGCCTCCCTTGCGCAAAGAGGGGGCTGGGAGAATTGTTTTTGTTTGTGTTTTTTTTTTTCTTTCTGGTCAACCTAAGCTAAGTTTCAATGGTCCAAATTCGGGCCATTGGGCACCTGCCGCACCTTGCCATTTAGCACCCTCGGGAACTCACAGCCAGTCGACACGTGCTGGGCGCTCTTGTTTTGGCCCCTTGAGTGGGGACCTACGGATACACCAGGCCAAAAACTAAAAGAAAACCAGCCTCCGCGGTGTCGCAGAAGCCAACCGATGGAATCTCGTAAACAATAGCGGTGGCCGTCAACTATTCATCCTCCAAAAGCCCACAGCAGGATTATCGTCGGCCGTGTCTTGCTAACATGATGAGGAACTGAGCGCAGGATTCAGGAGACTCATCCTCGATGCTGGTTGATTTTAGTTCCGGGTATGGAGCTCAAACGCTCGAGCAAAGGTCCCTTGCCTTACGTCATTGAACGCTGAACAAACGGACGAAGATAAACAATGGTGGCCAGCTATAGCTACGCGATGCGACGCGTTTCTTCGCGTAAAGCACTCTCGCGCTTCCAAAAAGGGGTTGCACGACCTGTTGCTGGACAGTTTCGATATGCGAATGCGCACTGTCACTTCCCACTGTAAGATAGGTATGTATTAGATAAGCAAGCACGTGCTGCTCTGGACTAGTCTCAAATGCTTACATAAGGTCGAAGCTGCACTGGAGCTTTCGTAGACTGACAGGCAGTGACGCTCCAAATCCCGACCTAAATGCAGGAACCTTGAGCTGATCTATGGATACGGATAGCTGGCTAGGTTATCATGTCGTCTAAACCCTTCCAGCGTTCCTTCATGCACAACACTCAATAGCCCAGCACCCAAACCTTTCGCTACTTGACGATCCATACGCCGCAGCACGCACGGCGCACTCTCAACCCCCACTCCCCTGCAGAAGAGCTGATCAGGAAATAGCCTGATATTATCCTCAGACTGTTACACAGGATACACGCCTTTTCGGGACAGAGGCTCCTCGAGTGCCTGCCGCCAATCTTCCCAAATTGACATGCGGCTTTTGACTCGTTGGCCACATGCAATGATCCAATCCCAACAAGCAGATCCCTCTCAATCCCCGGTTCCTATGGGGTAACCTGACATAACTGCTCGACCGAACTCTCGGAACCCCGCCAGCCGTTCACAGCTTGTGTGAAGCTACCTGCTACTTGCTCCATCGAACAAGGCAGCTCCCCGGCGGAAATCATCTCTCCCCGCTTACACGAGCTGTCAGGGCCAAAAGCGAGACGACAAGTACAGACAACGGCATACAGAGTACGGATACAGATAGAGTTTGCTTGAGGCTCTTGGATCAACGGCTCTCGCCTTGTTTACAAAGCTATTCCCGGGATACTTACACTGACGGAAGGGGTCCAAAGGAACGTGGGAAACTAAGCAATCTCCGGGTCCTGTCTTTTTTCGCATCCTTGTCCGAGAAACCAACAGCGCTTTAGCCATGACTCCCGGGAACCCTTGAGCCCCTTCGTCAGGAGGTAATGATACGTATTGCTGGCTGTATCCATCCACAACCAGAGAGGGCGTGTAACCTTCGCCCACCGTGCGCTAGAACAGACTCGGCTCTCATTTTGGCTGTGGCTTTGCGCTGACAGTGACAGACAGCGTCATCCCTGATTGCAATGATGACTAGGTACACCCGCCACTCAACACTAATCCGTACTGCAGTAATATTTCGTGCCGTCCACAATACTGGCACTCCTCCTTCCGAGGTTCGCAAGGCCACGAGTCGGCAACGCTTGGTTCCGGACGCATTTTGGTGGGACGTTGACGATGACATACTGGCTGCTGAGAAAATGCCTTTCCGTCACGGTTTTATCTCCTCCAGGCTCCATTACTCATTCAGCCCAGTCTCCGAAGCTCCGGGAGCTGATCTGCTCTTCTGCCATGCCGCTGGCAACATGAGCTTTGTTCCGCTTTGCCGCGTGGGTGTCTTACTTCGGGACCTTGGCGATCTATCTCGCCGCGTGCTCTTTCTATGCAATTCAATTGAGCTATCCGCAGATCGTCGACGAAATATGACCTGTTGTGTTGGAAGTCGATTGCTCGATGCGAGAAGTGATAGCCCTACGGATGCCGAGGAGTCAACCCTCGTGATACCGAAACCCCACGTCCCCCAGCAGCTCAGTGGCGGGACCTCAGAGGCTCGAACAGCATTGATTGACAGAGACGCGGACAAACTCGCGGTACAATATCAGGGAGCCCATCCATCTGTTCCCGATCAGCAAGAGATCGTAATACCGGCAATACATATTCACGACTCAGGTAACGCATTCTGGTTGTTCTCGACCGTTTGTAATTACTCTGTGGTAGCGAATTAATCGTATAGGGAATTCGAAATCATCTCCAGGCCATCTTCGAAAATGATATAGTCCGACCGCCGATTCAGGCTTCAGATCGCAGCTCCGAGGATCGAGGGGATCGAAGAAAGCACGGGCATCGAAGAAATACAGTCTGGCTCCTTTCCGACGGTAAGCTCTGCCATGCTCCATGGTATCGGTCCCAAACATTGGAGCGAGCGATATGACGCGAAGGTTGATTAGGAGATAGTCCCATTTGCTAGCTCGACTGTCAAATGGCACTCGCCAGGCCGTGAGCGCCGCCCTTTTGCCCGATTAGGACACTGGTTGAGGTCCGGGTCCTGGGCCGCAGTGGGGCCGGAGCCGAATTGGTCCAAGTCTCGAAGCGTGGGATTCATGGGGGTCCTGAACTCCTGGACGTTTCTCGGCAAATCCTTGCTGGAGCAGCCTCGAGACTGGAGAAAGCCAAGAGAGTCCGAGTCTGCAACTACCCACGGTTCGCTGAAGAAATCTCGATTCTCAACCCCCAGCATCCCCGTCTTTGCCAATTGAGGTAGCACAGACAGTATTGCTCTCTCCCATCTTCACGCCCAATCCTACATTACCTGGCTATGTACTGTGGCATGGTGCCAGGTGGTCAACAAGACTGCCATAGTCAACCTGCAGTGTATCCGTACACGGCAACCTGAATTCTACAGAGGACCCCAGGCAACTCTCTTGCCGAAGTTTCGTCTTGCCCTTTTCTCGACCATTGCTGTTGCGGCGGACATGGTGAAATCCCACCACTGGGAGGTCACAACTTGCAGCAAGAGGTACACATACCTTAGCATCTTTCACGGCCAGTGCCTGAGTCAAGATGGCAGCAGAAGAGGCAAGCGTAGCAGGGGAGTAAACGGACACGGAGACAGAGAATGGTGTGTACTGGTACATTGTCGAAAGAAGGTAACTATATTGCATATGCACTCTGGTCACTCTACCACCTCCCGAAACTAACCTAATGCTAGGAAGCTGGTTGTGCTTCCCCGTCAAAGCCCGTCTATGATCTATCTCCTGGCTTGACATCGCCGTCTGTTATTTTCTTATTTAGCATGGCTAATACCAGGCCTGACGTCTTGATTGGTAACACTGCAGAGCGCGCGAAACAGTTTTGCAAGTGCCGATTTGGGTCGGAGCATTCATGTCGCCCCCCTTTAGCCTTTTCTTGACATATCAGGATGGCCCTGGCATCGCCGAACCGTTGACAAGAACATTATGGATGACGACGGCTTGGTTCACCCGAACCAAAAAGCCCCCAAAGGCCGTGCAGTGTCCGTGGCTCAGATGAGCAATGGGGCTAACCCCAACCCGTCAGCAAGTGTCTAGGTTCTGCCAGAAAACCAAACAAAGACTGCCCGGCGTCCAGGTTCTGGCCTCTTCAGCCTTCAGAAATCTCTTTTGCAAGGTCAGGAGCTATACTCAGCTCTGCTAGTGGGCGATCATTCTCCGCTCGGCCGTCGAATGGCATTCTTCCATAACCACACATCGTGGGAACCTCCTTCTCGCGCAGACTACTGCAACGCAACGCTGTGGGTTTTCGCCCATTCTTGTTTGATTGCCGCCCATGTTGGCGCCTTGCTGGGGACCCAGCCTTGAAAGAGGGCAGGGGACGGGTTCACGGGTACCTGACGAAAAGTATGTTGGCTCTATCCATATGTAGGCAAATGTGCCTGACATGCCCGCTTGCGCTTCTTCCGCCTCGCCCGTCAATAGTTTAGTATCGGCGTCCGTCGATCTTTGGTCTCGCACACCCTCCTAGCTTGCTATCTGCTTCGTCTCTGCAGAGCCCCTCTCCTTTGATCGCCTCCCCGCTGTTCTATACGGCGCCGTCCTGCTCTCTGGCTGGATGACGTTGTGGGATGCCCATGGCTGGTGCGCCCCACGGCTATCTTCCTTTGACATTTGATGCTCATCCTCTTCTCCTACGATCAGCCTTCGTCCAAACCCAATATAAATCCTTCTTCATTCCCCCAACGCCCGTGATAATGCCCCAATCAACAGATACATCTGCGGCCCGTGATCATTCTGGACCACTCTCTGTATTAGCACTATTCCGGCGAAAGAAGCACATGGCTCAGGTCGCTGCCGCTCACAGCACAAACCACCGCCGACACAGGCACGGTGAACTCACCCAACCTCAAATGAACGGCTACAGCTCTCTCAGTGTCACGTCTCTGCAAAGTCAGAAGCAGCAACAAGTAGACTTTGACGAAGGCGGCGCCGATATTCCTGACATTCCACTGAAGCGTCCAGTCACCAAGATGCATCAGGACCGCCCCTTGAACCCGTCTAGGTTCCAAGAGGCTTGGGAGGATGACGAGGATAGGAACTGGACCGCACATCATGGACATGGGCCCATCAATCCCAATACCATAGCCCCTCGGCCAGATAGAAGGTAAGAGGAGAGATGTATCTATTGTATAAGTCGAGAGCAATGTCGGCTAACACCTCACCAAAGTGCTGTTCGTTCTCCTGACATTCCCCCAAGAGAAAGAGGCAGAGTAAAGTCTCCCGAACCTCTCCACGCTCAGCAGCGGCAAATGTCCTCAAGCCCACCAAGGAGCCCTAGAACACGTTCTTCAAGGTCCAGGGCCAACTCGACATCGTCCTCATATCAAACAAACAATACATCACTCCCAGCTCTGCAGACGAAAGGCGCTGGCGATGACGAGATTCTCGAGCCCTTGGCAGAAGAGGAAGTCGAGCCTGGCTCGTTTGACCTAGTAGTCCCATCTCATGGCGACAACGGACAGTACTCGCTGGAAACCCGCTCCGAGCTTCTCTTCTCAAAAGACCATTTGCAGGCCATTTTTGATGATCACTTACTCCTCCAACGTTTTACCGACTTCCTTCACCATGCCCGACCCGACTCGCTCCCCCTACTGACCTACTTCTTGGACTGCTTAAAAGCACTCCGGGCCATTGCGTATGCCAACGCGATCGCGGGTGGCCTCGACACTCTGCCCGGACACGAATTCTCAATGGCAAACACCGATAGCACAATCAACAGCTCCTTGAGAAAGAAGGCCGAAGCTGCTTTCGACGTGCTTGTTCAGCAAGATCTTCCCGCCTACATAACCCATACTTGGATCCAGACCGTCAGCGTGTCAATCAAGAGGCGTATCACAGGCACTCTTCCGGTTCAGCTCAGAGAAATGTCCGAGGGTTTGGCAGAAGTGTTCTGCTTGACGGATCCTTCGAGAAACGACAACCCCATTGTCTTTGCTTCCGAGGGTATGTATATACATCCTTCTCCTTATCCATGTTCCACATCAGCTGACTGTCACTTACAGAATTCCACCGCACGACTCAATACGGCATGAACTATGTCATTGGCCGCAACTGCCGTTTCCTACAAGGTCCAAAGACCAACCCCTTTAGTGTACGACGTATCCGCGACAAGATCCTGGCTGGAAAGGAGCACTACGAAACCTTCCTCAACTACCGCAGAGACGGCTCCCCGTTCATGAACCTCCTCATGGTGGCGCCGCTATACGATAGTCGCGGCACAGCCCGCTACTTCATCGGCGCTCAAGTCGACGTCTCCGGTCTCGCGAAAGAAAGCTCGGGTCTGGATGCCCTGCAGAACCTAGTCGTCGAGAAGGAGGCCGTCGGCACCATCAACGGCCAAAACCAGCAGCAGCGACACGACAACGAGGAAGAAAAGGACGAGTTTGAGGAGCTCAGCGAAATGTTCAACATGAACGAACTCGAAACCGTACGCAGACGCGGCGGAAACATGCACCGCGTCCCGCAAGATGAAGGCCAGGCCGCATCCTCGACAAACTGGCAAAAGCCACGCATCCTAATCCAGGATGAGTCCTCCTCCGTCCATCAGTCCAACCCAGCTGTGCCTCTGACGAGCGGCAAGCTTTCCGGCGTCTATGAGCACTACCTCCTCGTCCGGCCCTACCCCAGCCTCCGCATCCTTTTCGCCTCCCCCTCCCTCCGCCTCCCGGGCATCCTTCAGTCCAACTTCATGGACAGGATAGGCGGCTCCAACCGTGTCCGCGACGGCCTCTCCCAAGCCTTCGCCGACGGCCACGGCGTCACCGCTAAAGTCCGCTGGCTCACCAAGTCCAACAGCGAAGGCCGCGTCCGCTGGATCCACTGCACGCCCCTGCTGGGCAGCAACTGCGCCGTAGGTGTCTGGATGGTCGTCCTCGTCGACGACGAGTCCGAGGCCGGCATGAAGCGAGGTAATCAAGCCCCGCCCGTAGACGGCCGGCTCCGGAGAGCCCCCGGCATCGCGCAGCAGTTCCAGCAGCAGCAGCAAGCCGGGTCGCAACACCGTCCCTCCGTCGACGACAAAATGTCCCTCTCGAGCTTCGCCGCCATGAACCGCGCCCGCGACGAGGTCCAAGTCGATGCCCCCGCCGACTTTGACGTTGACGTCCCCTCCGACCGCCCTGGCAGCCGCGCCAGCCGCGCGAGCAAGTCGAGTCGGCTCAGCCGGGGTCCCGTCAGTGCGCAGCGTCGACCTCTAATCCCGGGCGGTTTCGATGACCCCGACGGAGGGCCATCCCGGCCTGCGTATACTGTAAGGCTGGAGGAGGATTAGTCAGTCATAAGCCTTGTGCTCAATTTTTCTGTTTGTCCCTTGCAAAGTTCTTTGCTTTTCCCTGGAGGGGCGGTGTCCCGGAGGTGCCGTTGATGCTGATCTACTTGATACCATTACAATTCTGTGCATTAATTTTAGCCTTGTTGAATTGGAAATCCTCGCTACAGCGCTGGTATAAATCTCATATATATCTGACGGAATTGGAGGAAAAGAGAGAGCAGAATGATAATAAATTAATCTTACGTCACAAAGGAGCAGCCGCTGAACTGCATTTCTGGCTCAAGTGTGATCAAGCTGTAAAGCGAAACTTCTCGTTTTTGACAGCAACCAGCTGATTGCATGTAAGCAAAAAGTAGCCACATTCGCCATGTAAGCAACCCTAAACTGGACATTGCGCCCTTTTCGATCATCTATTTACCCGCCCCGGCCCTGCGTAATAATGCGACGTGACCTAGCTTCCCGTAGGGGTTTCTGAAGTTTTTGCAGTATCACGTAGCATGACTTTCAACCGTCTTGACTTTGAATCTTGTGTCCTGCCATCTGGTCATTGACTTTGCGTCGCAACAGAGTAGAGTCTGAATGGAGTGAAAGTTCTGTCTTCAAAATAAGAACTCTACTGTCTGCTCTTAGCATTTCCTTCCCTTCGTAGGTGCAATGATACCTGCTCAGCCATGGCTCTTCGTGTTTCATCGACTCGTAAAATTCATGTAGTCTAACAAGTTTGCGAGCGCTGGGAATCCCGCCAAAGATCCCGGATCTACCCAAAAGCACGCCGTTGATTTCTATCGCCCGCCTGACCAAGACCTCAAAATCCAGTATTAGCCAAACTCTGGGAACGTGAGTAATCCGCCTCTCGAACCCGCAATGGCAGTAACCACAGTCGCCCCTGTCAGACCTTCCATTCCGTAGGGCACGTTTAAACGTACTCAAGCCTGTGCAGCGCCGGCTTGCTCCAGCAGGCGTGCCCGCCAGCTGTTGCACACTTCCTCGAACCCTCCGACGACATCTCCGCATACGCCCGCGCACTCGCGATTGGCCAACCTCTCGCTCCAGTTACCTCGGTTGATCCACCTCTCACCCTCCTCCCGGAGCTCTTCTTCCCTCTTGATCTCGGCTACCAGCTCTTTGGCGCTCTTCAACCGACGCGTGGCCGTTGTAGTCGTTTGCCTGGACATGTGAAGTGTGTCTGAGAGGTAGTTGAGGCTCTGGACGAGGTCCGAAGTGAGGGTGTGGAGGGCTGTGAGGGAGTCGTAGGCTTTCGTTGTTGGTCGCGGCATCGATTCGGATAGCTCGATCAAAAGGGGTAGCAGCTCATCGATGGTCTCCGAGTCCG